TTCCCAGTGTCTGCATCCTTGTGAACCAGTAACACAAATATTTGCTCCCAAGACTAATTTTACTCACATGGTTAAGTCAAGTAATTTGGTTTTACTTACATGAACTTGAATGGGATTACTCACTCAAGTAGAGTTACTCATGAGCACAAATCTTAGGATGAGACCATGAGACACAACAGCACTACAGATTTGCCTTATCCCATTACAGAAAGTTAGAAAAAAACCTGCCTTACCTGATGTTTTTTCTGTGAACACCACCTTGGACTCTGCTGTGAAATTCTGTCCAGTCAGGATCATCTGTTGTCCTCCATAAACGAGGCAGCTATCAATATCTTGTCTTTCAACCATTGGAAGTTCATGAGCAGACCTTTGGGCTGTGGACAAATTGCAGACATGAATGAAACCAACTCTGTTTTACCAGGACTTTCCAAATCTTCCCAGAACTATCCACAGATCGATCTTGTCATCGTTACCATCCGTTGACTGCCAAAACAGCCTTCTCCAGGGTGCTAAATTTAGGTTTGAGAGGGAAAAATAAACTTACTCAAGGCATTTTATTTGGAAACATTTGGGAGCTGGCTGCAGTGTTTCAGCTGTGCTGGCCTTACTCCTTGTCCTTCAGAAAGGACAGCTTGGATGAATGAGCTGGAACTTGCCCATGTCTGTTTCCAAATAAATGGCCAAATTTTCAAGTGCAGGCACACTACAGCCCTGGAGCCCAAAAATTCCACCTGCAGAGAGGATTCCACTGAGTAACGCTGAATTCCTTCAGAAAAAAAAATAAAAATAAACCTCTTCTACAAAAGCCCACTGCCTCCTACAGAACAAGGACCAGTAATGCGCCAGGAACAGTACGTTTGCCAACAAAAGCACCATCTCCTTGTGCAGGCACCGAGCCTTGTGCACACAACAACAAGAGGGGCAATCATGAAGCCACGTTTGCGAGCAGGAGGGGTCACACCAGGACTGCTGCAGCCTGGGCTTTTTGCAAGCATGTTTTGCAGCGGTCTGAACATCGGAGACGCAGGGCCCCATGTTGCAGACTAAGTTCGATTATAAAAGGCAAGGAAAGAAAAGGTAGGGTGGAATCCAGATGGGCATGTACATGATCAAGAATTTCTAAGGTCTCTACTGTTCTTGGGCACGAAACTGGACTTATTTATTCTCTTTCCCCAGCCAGAAAACCAGTATAGCACCATCTCTCCACCTACTTTCCTCTCATCCCAATAAAACAGCCGTTTGCAGGGTCAGAAAACCTTTGGAGGATCCTGATTACCATTCTGCAAGCCCATTCCAACTGTTTGCTAGCAAGTGGCAGGAGCCGAAGAAAGTGAAGATGCAAGAATTGTTCCCTACAATGCAGACAGATGGAAAGTATCATGAGCTTCCCTGTGACCAGACCAGGTGGGCAGCAGTTTGGGTCTGGTGAACTGTGAGTTCATGACCTGCACTCAAACTCCTCCAGATTCATCCACCCCAACTGGAAAGGCCTCTAGAGGATGTCGTTCATCTATTTAACAGCTGCCTTGGCTGGATTTTAACTTTCTCTGACAAAGAGCCTGCTCCCAAGAGACCCTGAGCACTTGTGTCTTCCCTTCACTGAACACCGTTGGCTGCTGAGACAAAAATAAGGAAATGTTATCCCCCACTTGCACATGGGTAAGGCTGTGCTTTCTCTGACCTGGTCCCGCCACCCTTCTACTGCTGTGCAACCTTCAGAAATCCAAAAACCCAACAGCTCTTGGCTGCGGTGAGAGCTGTGCAAGTTCTCTCACCACATGAAGAAAATGCTACAATACTTGGCAGGAAAACACAAGCATTAAACCTTTCAGACAGGTGTCTGTAGAAGTGGGGAGCAACTTTTCTAGCAAGGACAAGCTCAGCTGAACTCTTTCTGCCAGTCATGACACAGAGTTTTTGCTCTTGTCAAAAATATAGACAATTCAATATTTATAACTTTCTTGTACTGTTTGAGAGGCATTTTTAAAAATCTATTTAAAACAACCTTATGACTCATTGTTTCCTTCAAACATATAACAACAGCTGGGCTAACATACTGCCAATTAAGAATATATATTCAGATTATTTTCACAGAGGCTGCTAATTTCTTTCACATGGCTGTATGATTAATTCCTTTCCCTAAATACTAAAATTTTTGATGAGTTCATAATTGGATTTATCACAAAGACAGATTTGTAACCTCAAAGGCTTAAAAGAAAATAGCAATCATCAAAAACATGTCTACAATAGTCAAGAGAAAAATGTATTTAAGTTTTTCCCTGGACACTTTACTCCTGTTCAATCCCCAAATTTCACTTCCAAAGCATCCCAAACCATCAAAATTCCAGATTAACCTACATCTCCTTCAGACTTCAGTGTTAACAGAGAGCTTTGTACCTGATGTCCCACAGATCAGTGGTTCTCAAGGCTCTTTCAGGACGAGGAAGGACAATTTTTAGCCTGGAAATAACCGTCTGACTCATCTTAATTACATTTGGATCTTGGCAAGTTGGAAATCACTGCTGAAGACCAAGCCTCTGTCCAGCTTCCATAGAGCGCAGTGTTTGTGTACGCTGCAACCTACCAGGGAGCCGGGGAGGACAGATGGTTCACCGGGAGGGAATATGCATCCCAGCTCAGGAAATGCCAAAAACCCTTCTGCCATCCTCAGCCAAGCTAGGGCAGCCTCAGCAGCACTGCCTGGAAGCCTGTGACGGGCAGAGGCATTCTGCGGGTACCCCGATGCAGCTCCATGCTGCCACAGCCCCATGGCCAGCAGCAGCCAGGCTGATGCAGAGCTATGTTCTGGCATGGCTACAGCACGAGCAGACTACAGGCATCTCGAAAACCCCTTTTGCCCTGACCCAAATTTGTACAAAAACCATGTGTGCTTTATGTGTGCTGCAGAATAATGCCATTTGGCCATGCTTCAGTTGAGTTTCTCAATACAGATATCGTGCTAAAGGGAAAGGTGGAGGGCTCAACTCTGCCCTGGTGAGCCCGCATCTGGAATATCGTGTCCAGTTCTGGGCCCCTCAGTTCAAGAAAGACGGGGAACTGCTTGAAAGAGTCCAGCGCAGAGCCACAAAGGTGATTAAGGGGGTGGAACATCTCCCTTATGGTGAAAGGCTGAGGGAGCTGGGTCTCTTTAGCTTGGAGAAGAGGAGACTGAGGGGTGACATCATCAATGTTTATAAATATGTAAAGGGTGAGTGTCAAGAGGACAGAGCAGGGCTCTTCTCGCTGATGTCCAATGATAGGACAAGGGGCAGCGGGCGCAAAGTGGAGCACAGAGGGTTCCACATTAACGTAAGGAAAAACTTTTTCACTGTGAGGGTGCCAGGGCACTGGAACAGGCTGCCCAGGGGGGTTGTGGAGTCTCCTTCTCTGGAGACATTCAAACCCACCTGGATGTGTTCCTGTGTGATCTGCTCTAGGTGGTCCTGCTCTGGCAGGGGGGTTGGACTAGGTGATCTTTCGAGGTCCCTTCCAACCCCTAACGTTCTGTGATTCTGTGTGTGAATACAGGTATCCACTGAGCGCCTCATTTCCCCCTCTGCCCCGTTTCTCTTCTCCTCCCACTAGGTGGTTTGCAAACTCTTTTCTAAAAAAACTACTTTTCATTTTCCAAGATCATCCTTTTTTTTACCCAGGCCTGTAAGAATGTTTCACTCCATTCCCCATTTCCACCAGTAAGGAGGCTCAAGGTTCAGTGTGGAGCTGCCTCAAGAGGATTCTTTTTTTTTCCTCTGCAAGAAATATTAATTGCCAATAAATCCCCTTCCTCTAAGGCTCATGATGGGTGGACTGCATGCAATAACTTCACACTACCCCTTCTCTTCCCCCAGGGGTTGGCACTTCATAAAGTGACCTATGGCTACTGGAGTTTATGAGCTTTGAATAAACAAAACACTGTTGATTTAAAGAGTTGGGGTGTTTACTTTCAATAGCAACAGTTACTGACATAAGGCAGCAAAGCAAATGCTATAGAAATACTCACACTTGGCCTGAAGCAGTGTGTCAACCTATTAACAGGGGACATTATTTTTCTATTTTATTTGACTGTCTGCAAATCAAGATGTCATGGATACGTGGTGCCAAGAAATACAATGCACACAGTGACACAGGAGAGAATGGGAGCTGCTATCTTGGAGCACTGCACCACCTCCATTGAGCTGCAGCCTGAGAGGGAAGCAGCCTCTGTGCCACCTCCCCTGCCCGCACCACCTGGCAGGCCCACTGCTGCCCACAGCCCACCCAGGCTCACGAGCACCCGCTGCAGAGGCACAGGGCACTTGTCGGGAGTCGAGCCTTTATCCCCTTCCCTATGCCAGCAGGTAGAGGAAAGGTTCAGACAGTAGGCTGAATGCTTCACATGGGATGCACAAGCCTGGAGGCTGACCTTAAGGAAGTGTGCCAAAGCAGGGTGAAGGTGGTTTTGCTCCCCCAACTGCCTGCAGCATCCACAACTGTTCCTTTTTTAGCAGAGAGGCTATTTGGTTTCTAGGGAAAAAAAGGGATATTTTGAGAGAACTGATTACCTGGATAAGTCTGTTGTGGCTCTAAATCTCCCCCAAGAGAGTGTTGCCCATTGCTGCTAGCAGGTTCCAAGTGACAACCTCAGTTGTACTCCCTAATGTGCTCCTTAGGTAATCCCAGCTGCACCTGAGAGCCCCTTTCCCTCCGCACCGCCCAGCTCTCCCCATCAGTGCTCCTCCTGCTTGCATCTCCTGGGATGAGTAGTTCTAGCCCTGCCTGAGCATCATGTTTCCTTCCACCAGCTTTGGAGGGCTTCCAAGTGCTGCCTTGTCTTGCTCAAAAGCTGACTCGTTTTATGAGGAGTCTTAACTGAAGCTAAATGTCTCTTAACAGCCTCTGGAGAGGAACTGTCTCGGCAAACTCTCTCCCCGCATGTGCAATGAGAACAAGGGCTGGATCGGGTAATGTAGGCAAAGCAAACACACTAATGTGATCTGCCTCTTGGGAGGAACAGGCTTGTGAACTCTGCACAGAGCAGTGCGGGTCTGACTGACACTTCCAGAGCAGAGGTACTCTACAGCCTCTGTGTATCAGCGCACTGCATCAGTGCCACCTTCTGCAGAGTGGCTGGGGACCTCCACGCAAACTGTAAACAGAGCCCAAAGAATAGCTGCTAGAGTGAAATCTGCTCCAGGCTGTCTTTCTGACACCTGCAACACTGGATGCAGAGCCTGGGTTTACCCATAGCTGACCAGAGTTCAGGAGAGATCTTATCCTGGGCAATCACAGGGAGCAGGATGGAGGCTCACCTGCCACTCAGCGAGGACAAAGCTAGTGTTACCTCT